TAAAATCTGTTATTGTCTTTCAAAATTTGTAGTGCACATCGTCCTCTACACTCGTGTCTCTACAACAGGCAGTTGCCATCCATTCTACAAAGTTTCATCATGAATACTTTGTCTGAACAGTCTGTCAAAGAATAGACATAAAATCTGTTATTGTCTTTCAAAATTTGTAGTGCACACTGGAGGGATTTACACATTTTGATAAAACGTTTAGAAAAAAATGACCTTTACACTCCAAATATATGTAAAATATATATTTTTTTATTTTAACCAATGTTTTGCCTCTCTGGTTTCTTCAGAGTTAATATACACGATTTTTTTATGAAACATAAAATCTGTGATTCTCACGTAAATTAACCCATTAACTGGGGCAGGAGCAGCTCAGTTGCCATTTTCTGACTGACAAATAAAACTGAGTTGCCATCAATCACAATAAAATAGTAATTTTTGCCATTTGCATAGAGTTAATTATATGTGTGTGACTGACGGATATTTCCGTCATTTGCAGCTGAGCCATAGAACTTCAATGACGGAAATATCCATCATCCGCAGTTAATGGGTTAAATTAATAAATCCATTGTTTGGAGAAGTGTAATAGAACTCGCACATAATTTGAAGGTCCGTATAAGTGTTTATACACATGTATGTAGTCCATGCGAATTAGCTTTTTCTAATAATTTTTAACTTTCTAAGATGCTGAAAGTGAAAAGAAAGTTTCTGTTAACTGTTTAGGTAGAAATTAAATGCAAGATATGGAAATATCCGAACTAGTTTCCTAAGTCAAAATTGTAGAATATTAAATTACACAAATTTTGATTTTTTAACAATTAAATAAAAAATCTTATGAAATTTGACAAAATAAGTATTTTCTGAAGTTCAGAGAAGACAAGTACTTACTGGATTAAAAACAGTTCATTAGTACATAGTTTTAATTTTAACCATTTCATTTGGGAGAATTTTGATTATCCATCATAAATTAAATACTGACAGTGTGAACCTTTGTTACGTATTGAATCTATTTAGATTACTGGAAGTACTGTACGTTCTATAGAACTATGTATATATAGAAACAAATGTGATCTTACTGGTGTATATGTGTAATAGTGAAGATCCAACATGTATATCATTTGTATACAATTCAAGTAGATATACATTGCTGTTTCTAAGAAATACATTAATGAATACAAATAAAATGAAATCTATGAACTGTGCTTTTGTTTTTGGAGTTACAAGATTGTATTCACTTACATTAGAGTGGGTAATTTAGACCTAAATAATGCATTGTTTAGGCACATTCAATTGACCAAATATCACAGTAATGATTATTTCCACTTACTTGTCACTTTGATATCACTTTACAGTTAATCCATTTGAAAATATTTAATTTAACAGTTAATTGATACTCTTAGAAATAAGCTATTCATTGCCTCAAAATAGTTTTAAGCTAGCCCTTGAAAAACCTTCCTGTTTTGCATATTTCATTCTTGTATAATAACTCCCATCAATAGTGGGATATACATGTGAAAATGCATGTTCTAGTAGTTTTAAAATCTTAAAACTATAGGAAATAAATTTATACAACAATGCCTCGTAGGCATCTTCATCTAAGAAAAGTTACAGTTACATAGCCTTAGATGCCTAGTTTTACATCAGACTAATATTTTTAATGACTTGGAGCCATTTATGTATAGTGTTTTTAAGGTAGAAAGTTGTGATGCCATTGTCAGTATTTTATAGAATATAGAGAGATTAGTAGTTATTGTGTTGTAAAATTTAAGGTTAATGTACTTAAATTAATTGTGAGCATCTTCTGTGACTGTATTTTCAAAATCATCACATTCTGTTTTTTTTTTTATAAGATTTAAAACTGAGTGGTTTACTGAGATTTTATTTCCCTTGAATGTGTTTGAAAGATGTAGATACTATAAATAACATGTATAGTGTTTTGAAAGCTTTAGTCCCACCTTACCCCCTGTGAAGTTTGTAGGGGGTAGAAACAGAATGTCCTCCCACTAATATGAGAAGGCATTGGCTCAAGATTTGTTTGTGAAAAAAAGGCATGCATTTACTTGTATTTATGTACAGGTGATTTGTCTTGGATTTTATTTAAAGGCCCTACTGTTGTGTTGTACAGTTGAAGGATAGATGAATCTTGTCGTAAGTGGATTGAACATGTTGAATTATTATTAGAAGACATTAGTATAATGGCACTTTTCAAGTGATAATACCATGACATAATGTTGAAATGGGTTGTTCACACTGACCATACTCCAAGGAATCGGTTTTCGTGCAACTTAAGTGAGACAGACAGTACATGTTGTCTCTATGATGATGTGGAAGAGTTACCCTTTATGACACCAAGGTACGTTCATATGCAGACATTTTGCTTTCTGGCAGTATCTAAGATATATTCCTAATGATACTGCTTTCTGCTATGTTACTGTGGTTTGTGTGTTAGGAATATGTATCATGATGTGGTGTATTAGTTCTGTTGTCTGTTTTATTGTATCTAATGTTCTTATTTTTATGTTATTGCTTTTTTATGTATAATTGGTATGTATGCCAGTGAAATGTTATTGTGAAGCTGAGATTAAATAACACTCACTCCCCCTGTGAGGATAGAATTAACAATTTTAATTTCTTGAATTTGTTCAGAAATGAATATATATAGAACCTATTTCCATTTGTTACAGACCATATTTGTTAATGAAATTAAGCCTTGGCTTATCAGATTTTGTTGCCTGTTTATCAAGGTTAAGTGTTTTTATTTTCTTAGGTATGTTTTTACAGGGTATAATTTATGTAGATGTTTTTTGCAAAATCTTATTTATATATATATATTATGTTTTCCATTTCACATCTAGAGAAATTGGTCAGATCTTTTTCTGGTAGGGATGGTCCAGTAGGTCGAGTTTTTCACAGTCTTAAGTATTTGAACTTTTAAGTTTCCGAAATGTGTACGTTCTGACTGTATATTCTTTAATTATTTATATTCAAATTATGTGCACCCATTAGTAACTATTATTCTGTATGAATAACTTTTCCTATCCCAGAAGTGCATTTATGATACAAAACAAATTACATTCATTATATTAACCTTCGCTGTACTTTGTATCATATTGCTGTTCATGTAGACTTCTTTTTTTCTTTTTTACATCTGTAGGTATAATGTGTATATTTATTGTAATTATTTTCTCTTTGATATTAATGATAAGCTCCAAATGTTTCTAATTGAAATGTGTAATAAATTTTTACTTCTGTTTTCTAATTGAGTGTGAACCTTCTACCAACCAAGTTTATAGATTGTCCATCCAGTTAGTATAAGGCATTTGGTTTCACATGTACTGAAAATTCTCTTATTCTACTAATTTTAGTTTTAAACAATATTTTCTTTTCACTTGCCTTATTTTTACTACCCTTCCCAGTATGCACATGAAATGTGAAATAAACAGAATGGATAAAATTACATAAAATACTTATTTAGAGAAAAATAAAATGTTTTTACTATTGAAGTGTTAATACTGTAATTAGCAATATATATGATAACGTTTTAGAATTAATTGACATGTTTTAGTGATATATGGTTACTGCAACTACTAACAAAGACTTATAATGTATTAGATAGAAAAAAAACAGTAATCAAATTTATTCTATTAAGTAATTTGTAGTTTTGTAAAAGTTAGATTTTCATAGATTTGTGTGTAACGTATAAATACATGTGTAAGAATAAATGTTTGAACAAGTCCTTCTAAATCTCTTAATCATGATTGAGCTGCATGTTTATGGTTTTTAAAGTTTCTCTGCATTTGTAACAAAATTTGTACTTTTCACAACTTCATAAATAACATGACTGAAAGCAACAGTCGCAGAGAAGTTGTGAAAATTACAAGTTTTGTTGAAATAATCAAATGCAGTTTCCAGACCTGTTATATTTCTTATTAATAAATAAGGTGTTAAATTTCTTTAAACCTTCATATATTGATTTTATCTTAAAGATAGGAATGAAATACCAGTGCCACCTCTGAAGCATTGCATAACTTTTTCTGGTGTTGCTTTATCAGTTGGCAGGTATTTTAAGATTATGTTCTGCCTTCTTGATCTAATGATTAATTGCAAATTAACCAAATTATTTTTTCCACACATTATAGAGGCATATATGACTCATGTTGATCATGTACATCTGTTTGATATTTTGATTTTAGAAGGGTTAATGCATGTGGTTTCTTTACATTCTTTGGACATTTTGTAGCTGGAATGATTAACTTTGTAATTTGAATATTTCAAACTGAACATTAAAGTTTTGTATCATGTGGCAACATTATTAAACTTGGGAAGTAAACCATGCTTGTGTGTTTTCATTCCAAATGTTAGTTTTGAATCCTACACAAATATTTACACATTTTTTGTTTTGTTTTTTCAGAGGATTTCCTTCTTACAACAAAGCTCATGACTATTACAATGATGACATTTATAGAAATTTGGAAGATATAGCCAAGTATGTGTATATATACATATATTTTAAAATATTCATCTGGAAATCTTTAATGTTCAGATAAGTATCTATTAACAATATTTTTATGGATATAGAATAAAAAATTTACAGTTTTAACTATAGATACTTATGGCAGATGAAGATGATCTTAGATGACCTAGAATTAAAGTTTTAAAACTGCTTGTTCTCTTATTTTCAGCAGAGATTTGGCCCTTTCTATCATAATGTGCCATCTGTCAGCATTATCTGACTGTTTTCTGTAAGACACACACAATCAGTTTTTAATGTAAAAGTTTATCTCTAATTTTTTTGTCTATGTGTGTGTATAAAGACGAACTGTGTGTTTGTTTGCACCCTAACTCCTCTGAGCTTATTGGACCAATCTCAACCAAAATTTGTATGTAAACACTACGAACTATGGGGAATGTCCTAAGGAGGTCAAAATTGAACTTAACCCTATTTCTATTTTGTAAAGCCTGTTGGTTAATTACTTCCAGCCTATTGACTCAATCTCAAACAATCTTGGCAGGTTGATGTTTTAGTGTTGAATATTCTGAAGGGATTCAAGGTCAAAGTATGAAAGTTGCTGGATTGTTTTCAAACAACCATGCTTTTCTCATGATCAGTGAGATGTAGGGTGTTCAAGGGTGGGATCACCTCAAAATATTTATTTGTTGGTAGATTTAAAGCAAACTGCAAATGTTGTTTATGAAGAAGCTTTGTTATGATTTTAAAATTTTGAGATAAAGTTTATGTTCAAGTTATTACTTTGAAATATATGATTGCTGTTAAACTTACATTGTTTTAATTGTGTTTAAACATTCCCTGTCAGTTGACGGTTATTTCAGCTTGTGTATAATAATTATGAAACCGGTTTTTTAGGAGATCACCTTGGTTCCAATTGTTGTTTTAAGCTGGGAATCTTGAAAACTTCTTTTAATTGACAGAATTCAGACTTCCTTGACTGTCTATGTCTATAACAAAGAAGAGCAGTATTAATTCCAGTAATTGTGAAACTTACCTGCTAGATTTTATATCTTATCAGCAATAATTGGTGTTGATTGAAAATATTTTGATGAATTAGTACAAGTAATAGGGAAGCAGATTCTATGTACAAATACAGGGATAAAATTAATTGATTATTTAGAATAATCAGGGGTGATGTGCTATTATATAAATTTTGTGTCTGTGTTTCCATGGATACTTTGCATACTAGCCTGGGGGTTAGTGCAGTTCTACTTGCATAAAGAATGTACATGTATGTAACAGAAAACTTTATATTTAATTATTAAAATTTTCAAAAATGTTTACGTGTTCTTCTTTTTTGATAGCATTAAATAGCTGCTGTTACTGAATTTTTTTTAAGATAAGTAGCCTGTTTATAAGTAATAAGCTAATCCATCATAAGCCTGGTACACAAACAGATGTGTAATTCATTTACTGATTTGTCAGTTAAAATATCCAATTAGTTAGTTCCATATTTATAACAGTTTCTAAAATATGTGAGTATTTTTATAGCTGGGAATGGAATATTTATTTCTTAATGTAAAGTTTTATTGGTACAAGATGAAGGAGCTATATGTGGGTGAAATGACTTAGAGTCCCCAGTCTTTTTTGTAAGTATGGCTGAAAAGGATATATAGACTGGATAACTTGCCCGGTGAATTTAAACTTTTACATGTTTGGTATTAAATCATATTTTCATTATGTCAGGAATACTAGTCTATCACATATGTACACTGTTTAACCTGCCAGTAGATTTAACCTCCGTGTCACATAAGCATGTGAATCATATAACCATAGTAAATCATATTATTTTTAGTTTTGTACATTTGTCATGCCTATTTGCCTGGGGTTGATATATGTAAAAAAAAATGTACACCTTGATGACAGACTATACTATAATCTTTCCTTAATGCTCATTTAATAATACATGATAGTAAGTTCACTTAGGTTAATAAAAAAGCATCCAGAAAGTGAACCAGTAGAAAGTATGAGGCTTATCTTCAGATGAGACATTTTAATGTGCTTACACATATCATTCACTGTATAATTAAAACAAGGGATTAACCCTATGCACAAGGGTGGGTCAAAGTGAACATGTCATGGCATTTTTACATGTTACATTAAAGAACTTTATTATCAATGTATGTCAATAAACTTGGCATCAAAATATATTTCATAATCCAAATTTTTATATTATATAAGTTTTAATTTCTTACTTTTAAAAGGAAATAGTTAAATAAATTATCAGTCCTCATTTATTTGTGTCTTGTGTTTTGAACACTCTCATATATATATATTTTTTTTCTTTTTTTTTCATCCATTTTATGGCTTTCAGAGTGTCCAACCTATTAAAAACTGAAACTATAGTTAGTGGGAGACAAGAATATATAATATGAACCTTCTTTGTTCTCAATTTGTTGAGATATCATTAAGTTTGTCAAATCCATCAGCTTTAGTGTAGTTTCTAATCCACATGGTACATTTTAATGGATGGACATGTTTATAACAAATTGAATGAGTAGGATTTAATGTACCACTTTTCTACATTTGTTTGTTTAGTTTGTCAGTTTTCAAGAAAAGCTTGATATGTGTAAGTCATTGCTCCAACCAGTAATGGCATTTTTTTAAACCTGTTTTTAACTTATATAGAAAATTAGATAGATTAATAGTTTTGGGACATTTTGCTCGAGTGTCCAGTATATATTTTAGTGTTATAGAATGCATATTTGAAAGCTACATGAATTATTTGTTGGACAACAACATAATGAGAAAAAGTAGGTTTATGAAAGCATGGTTTAAATAATAAAAAACTTTACATAATAGATACATGTACTTTTTCAAGTGCCACATAGACTATAAACTTTTTAAAAACAAATTTCTAAAGTACTGACTCACTGAGCTGCTTTTCGGTCCATGACTTTGTTGTTGTTACAGGGTTCCAAATACTATACAAGTCACATAATTGTTTTTTCTTTTACATGCCATCAATATTGCAGTTAAACACTGATTATTGTTACATTTCCTGTATGCTTTAAATAGAGAATGAGAGATTTCACACAAAATGTTTGGTCAGTTTTACAATGAGATTTTGAAAGAGACAAATTATAGAATTACTCAACATGATGAAATATATGGTCTTCACCTAATGAACATTGTTCAGGTTTTAGAATTACTCAACGTGGTGAAATATATGGTCTTCATCTAATGAACATTGTTCAGGTTTTGGAATTACTCAACATGGTGAAATATATGGTCTTCACCTAATGAACATTGTTCAGGTTTTAGAATTACTCAACATGATGAAATATATGGTCCTCATCTAATGAACATTGTTCAGGTTTTCTTTTGGTTTTCACCATAAATTTTGTCAAATGCATTTTTTTCACTACTTTCGATGTTTTTTGTGTCACAAATTTGTATGCTAATGTTGTATTTTCATTCTAACTCTGTTTCTACAATTTTTAAGTAAAAAATTTCTTAGAATCAATATTTGTCATTTATAATGTTTAATTAGTGTAATTCACAAAGAAATATTTAAAAAAATTCAAATTTTCATTTAGAATTTTTCTGTCAGTCCAAAGAATACCTTTAAATTTGTTAATCAGTTATCACCCCTGTAGAATATATTACCTTTTTCTTGATTTTCACGTGTTTCCCTTGTCTTTTTTTCTGGTTAGTTTTTTGTACATACCTTTGTCATCACCCTTGTATAATGTCACGTCAAGTGGTTTGGTCATTTATTAATGGCATACATATTTGGTAAAAAGCTGTTAAGAAAATTTAAACATGATCAGATAGAGCCAGAATTAGACTTTTCATGTCATAATAGAATAAATAAAGTAGTTCGATCAGTGGTTTATGGTTTTCTGGGTAAGTTGCTAGTTGGACTCCTGTAGCCTCGATCAAAGGAATTTAGTAGGAAGTTTTGAAGACTTAGAAACAAACCACAGAACTGGGAAGTTTTGTAGTTTCTTTTACACATTTTATCATTCATGAAAGTTTTTGTGTGTTAAATTATATATCTGTTTGAAAGATAAAGAAATTTTATTTGATAAGAAGACATCAGATAAGCTTATTTAGGTTTAATGAGTATGGTAGGCTGTGGCAAGATATTCTGATGACTCAAATCTTTATTAATTGAATATTATTTTTATGTTTATCATATTCAAACAACATGTATAAATAAAATGGCTAACTGTGACTGCTTAATTACTTCCAACTGCAATCATGAAATGTTTTATATTTCTATTATCAGTGATAGTACAGCATGTTTTCATTACTTGATTTACATGAGATCAAAGGGGAAGTACTGTTTACTTAAAAAACACAAAATGGTAATGGCATGATCGTCTTGACATTAGATAGGAAATGTTTGTATTATCATTAAGAAAAATTTGGCAAAATTAACTTTTTTTCTGCAAAATGCTCAAATAGCACCACCTATGGAAACACTGATTATATAAACATGCTGATAATTTGGTAGTTAATAGGAGGAAACAGACTGCAGTTATACTGTGTTTATAAAACTTGATGGTAAAGATTAATTTTTATTTTATCTCGGTGTGTTTATGACATGCATTATCATCCATTTTATACTTTTTTCTTGATCTAATCCCATAATAATTTTTAATGAAATTATCAAGTACTTATATTCAAAAGGTAGCTAATTATATTGATGCTCACTGAAGTAATTTTAAACGTAATTAATGAAGACAGTCCTGTATAACAAATTAATTAGAAATATTTGTATGTCATAAATCAGTATACCAGAAGACACAGATAAATAATGATTATAATTCATTGAATTATTAGTGGATTAATACCCTCACTGCCAATGATCTTTTCACTCATAGTGCCAATAATATATCATAAGGTTTGGCCAGCAATGCAAAATAAATTTCCTGAATGATTATTAGAATTATTCTAAACTTGTTAAATAATAAGGTTTCATGAGATTAACTATAAAAACTGAATGTCTGCTGTTTAGATCCACACAGCTTACTAATACACAAAACGTGGAAATACTTTACACAAGCATTCATGTGTTTCCAATAATAGTAAACATAATTTTCACTAAATATGTTGAGTTATATTCAGCTTTTTAAGCAAAAGTGCTTTGTTAAGTGTTAAAACCACTGACTATGTAGGTGTTTTAGAAACGATATTATAAGCAGATTTTAGACTACATTCAGGGGCAGGTTTAGACAGGTGCGATTAGCATCAGGGCTCTGAACTTGTTGAGGTCCTGGATTAAACAAGGAATTTTTTTATTCACATTTCATTTATTTTTTATTTGACCATTGTTTTTTTGTTGTTTTTTGAAAATTTTGTGCTATTGATTATGATTATCATTGCTGTTGTGTAAAAAATTAAGTTTAATACTATACTAGCAAAACTCAAGATAGAAGCAATGTTTTTCAGTTTACAGAGAAGTTCAGTTTATTTTAGTCTTAATTCTTAAGCATCTGTCGATTCTTAAGATAGACTCAAACCTTCTTATGCAAAAACGTTATGCCAATCCTTATGTATCTTCAAGTACATAAATTAAATTTTATTTTGCAACTATGTCTTGTTTGAAAATAAACAAAAAAATGTTATAATGTGTTGGCAAGTTAGTCTGTCATGATAAATTTCTTAGATAGTTTGTTCCGGAAAGAGAAGGAAGAAGCCACTCTCAGTCTTGAATAATGTTCAGCTAATCCCTTTCACACCTACAATAAATAACAAACAAATTTATCCCAATGCTCTTTATTCCTTTACTTGCATTTGTCACACACACACACACACACACACACACACACACACACACACACACACAC